TGATTCTACAACAAAGTTATTGTATTAATAAAAATATGTGTGATTAGTATTTTAATACTGCTGACCTATTATAATATGCTTTATATACCTATTTAGAAAATATATACAAATATTTAAAATAATTACTATTGATTCCTGCATTTCTCAACTAACATGAAGTAGAAAAATTTATAATTAAGGAACTTAAAATGTAGAAGAAAAAGTGAAACCTTCATCTAACCTTCTTCATAATTACAATTATGTGCTAAAAATCCATTTCTGTTTTATACAAAAAAGGAAAGAAACCAAAACGAATGTTTAATCCAATTAATACAAGAAGTTATCATTAAAATTCTATCAATGTTAGGCAATTTATGACTAATGCTATCTAAAGTTGAATATATATATTAAGATACTAGTTTTTTCCCGCGACTTCGTCCGCGTTAGTTTGGTCAAGAGTAATATATGTAGGTATAGCTGATCAGGCGAACTCTATTCCGTCTTAGAGGCCATAAATAATCAGGTTATTCCTGTTTCAATCAAACAGAATGATTGACATATTAGTTAGTTGTCAAATCTAATGTAAAAAACGTTTGTATCAACAACTACTAATAAATTAAAAATTAATTAAAAAAACACTGTCTAGCGGACAAAATTGTGAATCTAAACCATTCCCAGATCCCGTTGAACACACACAAAAAATATCATCAAAATCGGTCCAGTCATTTGAGAGTAGTTCAGCGACATACACACTCACAGAAGAATTATATATATAAAGATATGTATTTTAAGTGAGAAATGTTAATAAATAAATTGTAAATGCGAAGGTTGTGACATCAGTTTAAGGCGAATAATAGATTCCTAACGTTTTAAAATATATGTTGCAAATAACTTATTAGTATAATAAGTGAGAATAAATAGTTTATTAGAAATGGAGAAACAGGAGGATTATAAAAACATTCACAACAAGGCAGACCCTGGCTATAGCTGGGAAAATGCCAGGTAGAAGAAGAAGAGAAACAGGACTCAGGAGAATGTTTTCGTGGTATCAAGTCTAGGTTCCAATACTTAAAAGTACATCTTTTAGAAGAAAAAGTAGTGATCAAAAACTTAATAATGGTTTTTTAATATTTTGTCTATTTTAACGATGTTTTAAACGCCAAGATATAGCTTAGAGTTAAGATTGGAATACAAAACTTAATTTTAATAAAGATAGATTTCTTTAAAACTTAATAAAGTTCAAATGTTTTTTTCATTATATAAGTGTCACCAATGTTAAAAGTTTTAGGAAATAAAAATTTTATTAAATAGAGAATCAGTGATGAACAGAGAAAATAAGATATTAGAAATAGACAAAAAAAAAATCATGACATTTAATATATTTAAATTCAAGATATGTACTTCGTATTATAAAAAAAATAGTCTACGGGTCTCGAATTTTTGTTAGACCAAAATGTATAGAATATAAATGATGTATTTGAGACAATTTTAATAACATCGCTTTTATATCATGATAAAATGAATTACAATCTTGTGGACTCTTCCTAATAGAACTGTTCTCCAAATAAGTTTTATTCTCTCATATATTTTGATTCTCATATTATATATTATACATTGTATTAAAGCCTGCTTGAATATATTGTATTTTTCTGTAGAACTTTTCTATACTAGTGGCATCTAATCGCTAATAAATCTACTGATTTTTATCTACCAAAAGTACTTACCTAGACTTCGTCGAAATACTAAATAAGATATTTCTTTGACTTGAAGTTGAAGTAATACACATCAGAACATTATATCATATAATTATGTTTTCAAGTGTGTTTGTTTATGGTGTCATTATATAGTAAATTTATTCGCACACCTTGCTCTCGTATGCAATTAAATTAAGAATGTAGCTAATATATTGGTTAAGGTGCATTCTGTGGGAATTAATATCAAGAGTAATGTACAGAAATTATAAACTTTATAAAATGTGCCAATGACAGAATTCTTAGATGCACTAATTATGTATACACATGTGTGTGTGTGTGTGTGTGTGTGTAACCAGTTTTTTATGTTGAGGCAAGAAATCTTAAAGCTATGATAGTTTGTTTGTCGTGTGAGTTTCTTACAAGCAACAACAGCAATGTCTAGTATAATCCTACACCTTTAAAGTCAATTTGACAAGTTACTTCTGAAAGACAAGCATACTCAAGCATACGTATTTCCCCGTATGTTGGAGATGTTAAAACTGATACTACAATGTAGTAGACTAATTTTTCGTTTATAATTTTTTTTATACACAAATTTAGTCGTAATTAAAATAAATCCTTTCTTATACACACATATTTTTGTGACGAGACTGAGATAATTTTGTCATTTATAGTTATTTTCGTGTTTATGTATTTTGTATGTCACGGCCATTTTTAAAGAATAGATCGTGTCAAGATATTATTTTATTTTTATAAACATAAAATATCTTGCGATGTAATACATTTTTAAATGCCAAAATTTGTTTAAAAGTATATATTCGTTACTTTAACGTAGTGTTCTTTGGGATAGCAGTTTATATTTTCTGAATAAATGTTTTTTTACTAATAACTGTAATGTTTAAAAAATATGACAGAAATTTAGCTCAAAATTTAATGTCACTAACGTAAGCGAAGCCACAGTAAAATATTTTGTACACAATATTGTGCAGAACGCCTTAAACGAAACTTATGAATTTCTTCAATTAAAGTATTTTACTGTCAGAAATTGTCTCACAAGATTGAATCCAATCAATAACTTATTTCCCACAAACTAGATACAAACTTTTAACTTAAGCACGTGTATTCAAGTAATTTTAATACAAATTACCGCCAAGTATTTTTTTTATATGAAAATCGACGAAATCGTCAGATTCCGCAACCATTAATCAGAGTTAATGCGTAATGCTGTTTAAAACAAATACACCGTCAGGCAAAAACATTTGTGACTTTATCACGACCTGACATAACCGGAAAATACACGTTATTAAACATAAAATATAAGGATTCCGTACATTTATAATATATATACTACTTTTGCTAAATTATATTTACTATAGTAATGTAAACTAAGCATATATTTTATATAATTTCGCTAAGTAAGCTAATAATAAATTAAACACTAAATAATTACTAATTGTGAAAAAATTACCTTAAAAGTTATCAATATAGAAAATATTTCAGCTTAAACTTTCTTCTGATAATCTGCTACCAATGTAGATACGCGGAATTATACAATTGTAGTTACGCGGATTTGCTCTATCCCAGACGATATACGTATATTTTCAATTAATATTATTTTAATCGTTCTAAACTATCGATGGTTCTATGATGTCTGGGCGTGCGGAACCCCAGAATCTAGCAGTATATACGTATATTTTTCATTAATATTAAAATTATTTTAATTATTCTAAACTCCCGATGGTTCTATGGTGTCTGTGTACGGAACCCCGATGTAATGTTCCCCATCTCGCGCCAACGGCATTATTGATGACAGCGAGTGACGATTACCGCCGCGTGAATTATTTATGCAATTAGCCGTACCTTTTTATTTCATGAAAACTGTTATTTCATACAAGAACATCATGGTTCCGTAGTGATTTTCTTAAATTTTATTGTATGTACAGCTCATTTTATTGTTGCTAAATTATAAAAAAATATGAATATAATATTAACAAATTTCATACTTCAATTGATTAGTAAAATAAATATTTTTATTTTGTTTCTTTGAATTTATCATGAACACGTATCTACATAAACTTAATGTATTCAAAGATTCTAAAGTAAGATTTGTAATATGGTAATATGTGGTATTCAAAAAGTAGTAATAAGCTGTCCAGTCTTTATGTTGATAAATAAAATGTTTTAATAATATTATTTTAGAAACTTTAAACAAATAAGATATTATTTATTTATTTATTTACACCATATATTGTACATATATTGTACACCAATATAGACAGAAATAATAAGAGAAAAACAAAGAAAGGAAAATGTACAAATAGGCGGCCTTATCGCTAAAACAGCGATCTCTTCCAGGCAACCTTTGGTAGAGGAGAGAGATAGAATGGTAGGGGTGTACAAATTACTGAATACATAAAAAATAGATACAATATATAGGTATATATACGATACATAAATAAATATTCCATAAATATATACTTATATAATAATATAATATACATACACATTATAGATATATACATTTACATACTATAGATACTTACATAATAAATAAAATAATTAATTACAGTATTTCTTCATGAAGCAAGATAGTGCTCTTTTATCATTTTTTTAAAAGAAGTCATATTTGGTGCACGTCTTGCTTCGAGTGGAAGAGAGTTCCAAAGACGAATTGATTGGACAGTAAAAGAGTGAGAGTAAAAAGATGTTGAATGGGGTGGTATTTTTAAGATCAAATTCTCTTCAGAACGAAGATTATGGCTATGTGAAGAACTAAGAAATTGAAAACGTTCTTTTAGATATGAAGGAGAAGACAGATTGAACAGAATACAGTACAGAAGTTGAAGGAATATAATTAATATTAATGAAACTATGAAAAACATATAGATATAGTACGAGGATAGATTTTATATAATGATACTTTTTTATAGTAACAATTAATAGTCAAAAAAAATGTAAAAATGACTTATAAAAATACACTAAAAGACACAAGCAAAATGCCCCCACCATGATAATTTCTGAGTTTTGAGATAGATTACTCAGAAAAAAGTATTTTAGCTTCACAACTATCAATCAAATAATATACACATTTAATTAAGCTTTCAGTTTCAATAGACGTCAGTATGAAATTCATTGTGAGCAAATGATTTTAAAACTAAACCTACTTTTAATATATGGTGATATCTTATTTAAAAAAATATTATGACGTCATAATTTTATCTATATATACATAGATTAGATGAAATAGAAATTACCTTATTTACGTACGTTACTTCTACATATAGTTTAGATGAAATAGAATTTACCTTATTCAACTACGTCACTTACCTTACAATTTTCTTTACTGCCGCTACTTTTTTCCACATCCTGTTCATAAAAAGATATTTAAATGTTAGTAAGCGATAGTAGCATACAAAAAAATATTAAACAACAGTTTGCGATCCATCCTCTGTTATATAAATTAGTATATAATATATTAAAAAATAAAATAAAAATAAGATTGTTAATAATTACGCATGCTTCATACATTAGTCAGGGTATAAAAGAAAATAACACAGTATAGAGAAAGAACTTTTTAATTTAAATTATAACATAATAAGAAGTACAGTATTAATTTTAGTCAATCTTAAAATAAACTTAAGAAGAATATATATTATATGAATTTAAATAAAACATGCAAATTTAATTTCTTCTACTTACTTCGAAACAATTATAAGACAGAATTTTAATTAGAATATTTCCAAAAATAAGTTATTTTTTTACGATACAAGTAAATTATATGAAAAATGATAATATAAAGTACATCACACATGAGTTTTGGGTATATGAGGATTTCTTATCAGTCAAGTGTAACCGGTTCGGACGACCCAGTTCTAGTAATTGCAAACCTTGGCTGGCTTCATTAACTGCGCGTTTTATATGAAACAACCTACACCTTATTACAATACACATAAAGGTTATATTCACGATAAAAACTTTCTTGCGAGTTATGTAAGAGAACTGCATAATTGAATGATATCAATTTTTTTGTTTTATTTAATAAAAAATCTGCTGTAAAGTTTGTTAATATTAATCTTATAAGCCATGAATCCCATAGCCGAGACCATTGTAAGTCATAAAGACACATACATACATACGTTCCTATAAAGATTTTGTATGCTCGTATACATCCTATACATCATACGAGACTCAGTTTACTACATAACATTTTTCATAATAATATAAAAGTTTAACAAATGACATAATTTATCCCAATTCCCGATACAATAGAGCACGTGGGTAGCGAAACGCGAGCCTTCACGAAATTGTGTCAACGAGACGATTTATACAACAATGAGTCAAGAAAAATATACTAAAAATAATTTTAGTTGTAACACCAAACACATGCATCGACTAACCTCGTATATAATCTGGGATACCCACCTGAAACATTATTAAAAATTAATATCTTAAATAAAAATAATCAAGTCAGTGGTGGTCTAGTGGTTAAAAGGCCCGGCTCTCATGCATGAGAGCGCGGGTTCAATCCTGGCCCTGGCAAGTACCAATGTGATTTTTCGAAGTCATATGTACTTTCTAAGAGTATTTAGGCATCATTGATTAATGCATTGCCAAAAGAGGGTTGATGTCAGGCAGGCGGCCAGTCGTTAAAACCAATTAGCCAAAACTATTCACAACATGTAAGGCAGACCCTGGCTAAAGCTGGGAAATTGCCAGGTAGAAAAGAAGATCGAAAATAAAAATAATATTGCTCAAATTTAAACTATTATTAAATTTAATATTCAAACATTCGTTCGAAGTCTTTCATCTAACTAAAAGCACATTTAATTCCGCAAATCTGTAAGTAAAATCTAGAATCTAAGCTAATCACTTGCACAAACTATTTAGGTCTCAATTTATAACTAACTAAGGTTCTGTTAAAAATGCAAGGACGGACATGTCCTGATTATACAAACATGTTTTGTGTCACTTCAAATGGAGTTGACATTTTAATTGAATGCATCATGTTACAAAACGTAAATTTCTGTTGAATATGTGACAAAAATATTATAATAAATAAACAGAAATTTATATATTTTATTTTAATTTTGAAATAATCGTAATATCGTAAGACTTTCTGTTGAAGTCGACCTTATGAAAACAAAAAGTAGCTACATATTTATTGCAATAACTAACTTTAAAAATTAAATTCGTTGATAAATGATAAACTTGTAAAGAACAAGAAAAGTAACATTGTTACATATTGCAATTAAACTGCAAAAAAAATTAAAATGATAACTATTTTCTATAAAAAATATTATTCACATAATTTGATGATAGCATTTTCTTTTTGCACAAAAATAATTTCTTAGAAAAAAGTATTTATAAATTTTAATTATCTTGTGAATATTAAAACATGCTCATTTTAAATTACCTTTACGATCAAAATTATATATAAATGCTAGTAGTAGAATCGTATCGAATTTATATTAAAATGTTCCCGATTTATTCACGAATTCCAAAGAAAAAAGGTTGAGATCAAAAACGAAAAAACTGACAAACGGATATTAAGTCATACTTTGAATATACAGTGTAAACTCCATATAACGACACTCGATTTAACGACAAACTCTCTAAAGCGTCGAAATCATTTGACTTTGGTTGGTTTAGCTTGTCTACCATACATTGATACACTCTATATAGCGCCACAGCCACTCTCAATAACGACAATTTAAGTAATAAAAAGTACCCTTTAAGTTGCTAAAATTAGTAAAAAATGCGCAGCTGTGTACATTTTTTTGTCGCTTTGTTATCCTAGCCCGCAATAAACTCCACTGTCGTAATCATGCATACCAAACTTTCTAAGAAATTCGTTCTTCACCAATATGCCTCAAAATCGCAAGATATGAATAAAATACGTAAAAAATACAACAACATTACTGATGCAGCAAAACACGTCAAACAAAAACAACAGACTTTATAACATTCTTTTTTATGTACATAAGTACTAACACTAGTCTGAAATAAACTTTGTCTTTTTCTAATTGTGATTTTTCTTCCCTCTATTTAACGGCAACTCTCTATAACGCACTAAAATGCACGGTCCCTTCAGTGTCGTTATATAGAGTTTACACTGTATATGGAAAAGATTTCGTGTAAGAGGCCATTAAAATAACTTTTACGTTTTAAAATCCCTTATGTATAAGATAATAGTTGACGCAAAATTTATCTGTTACTTTATCTACTGGGAGTAATAATTAATTAATTAATACATAATATTTTTGTCAGAAAACCTTAAATGGGATCCGTACCTAACTATTCTAGTAGGGTTTATTAATAAATAACTTATGCAATTAGAAAATAATTTAAATAATACAAATACTTCTTTAACTAAAACAGCTGCAAAATAAATCATTTTCATAATAAACTACCGAGAATTCAATAATGCTACCATTAGCACTTACAGAGAATTTATTAAAGTAGCCCATAATTATACTAACAAAAAACGTTAAAAAAACAATTTGAAATGACCACGATAGATCTCATTTACTGTTTGAATTCAATGGATAAAAAAAAAACTATAAAATTTCTTATTCTATTATTATTATTAAACTTTATAAGCCACCATTAAAACTGACGTCTCGTTATATCTTGACAAGTTCAGACACTTTTTTTATAGACACCTGCCAACGAAAACACAAAATATTCCAATTATTAAGTTCGCAACTAATGAGTATCGATACGCCAATTAAACAACAACTTAGCAATGTAAATATTATAAAATGAATTCCTTACTACATGGATGGACAATTAAAGTTTTAAGCAACATACATTTTTAAACAAGATGAATAAGAATAGAATTTTTTATGTAATATTTGAAATAATATATTTTTTTATATTTAATTGTTAGTTAGCGTATACCATCGTTCTATGATGGTGATGACGGTCACTATGGACACTTCGGTTACCATACATTACATACCACACATTGTAACTAAGCATGCGTAACGACAGACAAAACTAACGTTTAAAAATGAACTACAAGTATAAAAAACCAAACTATTTCAAGTTAATTCATCTAATAATGTATCGTATTAATGAACACACGCAAAAACAGCTTTAATCTAACGAACGAGTGTATTTAATAATGATATAACTAAACTTGTTGCGCCAACCGTACCTCAATGCGACAAAATGCATTTATCATCAACTGTATACATTGTAGGCAATTGTATTGTCCAGACTGAACCTAATGATATTTTATACACACCAAAATAAACGAACCAGTATACCTTACTGGAGTCACGGTCATTGTTACTTCACATAACCAGATTTGTTAGCTACTTTTTAATATAAATCTGAATATATATTAATTATGTTCTCTATACATACATTTTATACATAATTAATCAATTAAAAATATATATTTTATGTTATAATTCTCTTAGGAATTTAATTGTTATATTTTATTCAAACTAAACGATTATATGACTGTATTATACATATACGTATATTTTTGTCTGTTTTAATTTCAGTAATAATTCTTTGTTTTCCCTCGTTTTCTCTTGTTAACCAACATATGTACATTAACGCGTATAGCTTCTCATAATTGAACAAATTGGTAGTCAGTAGTCACCTCACTGTTATTATATTTGTACAAAGTGTTGTTTTCTCACTGTATAGTAATATTTTCTGGCGGATCATGTCATAAAAATTAATGTCACCATTTCGTGTTCGTTTCTTAATGTGTCATCCCTTTTCTTTTTATAGTGATGGAAAGAGTAAGAATCGCGTAGGTTTGAATATGTATTCAGTAAAGTGCCGTTGTTTGAACTACGGTCGATAAAAATTTAGCACTTTGGTTTATAATTTCGTACAATTTTCGTACATTAAGTACTATATATTTCTTTTCAGTTTCAATATCACTATTGTCTAAATCATGGGTTTATTAAATAAATTTGTCTGAATTAAAATACATACATAATTCGAAAACTTTCGACTTTGGAAATGTAAACAAAACATTTAAATTTCTTAATCTCTTTATATATTTTAAACTTTTATATTCTTTAAAATTATTTCTCAATCTCCCAGATACGTATCGTGTAGGAATAAAGAAAGTAGTTTTTGAGTTCTCATAACACAAACTTTGAACATAACAGGTAATTTGACGTCGATTATCATTGAGAAGAAATATTTTAAGGTTTCGGGTTTTTTACGTGAAGGCAGACTGGATTCTTTATCTGTATGTCTGGAGATTTTAAACAATTTGTCATAAAAAAATCAGAAAGTACGAATTTACAAAATTATTATCAGATTTTAATTGTATACAAAATTTCAGTAACAAATTCCTTCTTCTACAATAACAATACTAAATAACAAACCGTTAA